AATTTGATGTTGGTCAAATTCTTCAGTATTCACTGAAGACTTCATTCATTTTAACTCACTAAACAACTATTCTTCAAATGATTTGACCTCCACTTTTGATGTTTTCTAGCAATAGGTCATGCAATAAAATTGGTTGGTATGTGCCAATAGCCTTAACATACATATCATCAAGTTGAACATATTCTAATCACATTTTTGCCCCCAAAACCTTTGCTTAATATCAGGAAAATGGGCCATAGAATCGCTATCAGTCATCCTAGACCAAAACAGGCTAATTACTGCACAACAATCCCACATATGAAATGTGCTCTCTGCTGGGTCAAAGTTGTCTTTTTCTTTGACAGCATCATCTATGGTTGAAAAATAGAAATATAGATACTACTACTATTTTCCCTGGATTTCACATAAGATTTGGGAAAACATTTCTACTCTATCTTCAGTGGCTAAAGCAGCCAACCTATCCAATCTACTTAGTTCTACTATATGGCTACATTCATTTATTTATTCAGTTGATTCTAGATACTGGAAATAGAGATAAAGGCTGCAGTCACTACCATCAGGATTAAACAACTAATTTTAGATAAGTGATATGACGGTGTACTTTAGCTTACATCATCATCATCATTCTCATCATCATCGTATCTTTTTAAATAATTTAACATAAAACACACAAGACAACACTAGATATAATTCAGATCTGACATTATGCATGGAGAAATAGAGAAAAAAAATCCTCCCCCCACCTTCTAAAACAGGATTCTCAATGTTCTATAAAAAACACTTTGTCTCACTTCATCATGGTGTCATCTTCCTAGAGGAACTTGGTGGAAAGACTAGACCCAAGAGTTGAATTGAATCACTTTCTTTAGAAACTTAAGAGCCAGCAGCTAAAATTGCTGGTTGGCCATGGTCCCTGTGAGCAGATGGAGGAGCAACAAGGGCCATGGCAGCAGGAACAGATACAGAGAATTTGGATTCTGAAAGGAAGGTGACCGTGAGAGCATGAGAAGGGAGGAGAGAGAAAACAGGGAGCCTGAAAGAGAAGTGAGTACAGTCAGAAGCAGCAGGACAGAGGAAGCAAGAAAGGAAGAGCAAAAGGAGAAGAGAAATTGAAGAGTGGGTGGGAGGAAGAACAAGTGAGAAGAACATTAAACTACAGCACATATGCCTAAACCCATGAAATTAACATATTGAAAATAATCCAGTGCTTCCTTATAGAGAAAACAGTGGTTGGATCAAATTGCAGGGCCTTGTAGATGAGGAAGCCAAGTGACACACTGCAATAGGCAGCCTCTAAAATGGCTCCCAGGACTCCCTGGCTCCTGGTTATGCATGTCCATGTGTAATACCCTCCCATTGAGTGTGGGCTGGACCTAGTGACTCACTTCTTACCAAGAGAATACAGCAAAATTGATGGGTTCTCACTTCCAAGATCAAGTAACAAAAACGCTCTGAATTCCACCTTGCTCACCTTTCTTTCCCTCGCCTACTTACTCTGTAGAATGCCATCTGCCATATTGTTAGCTGTCCTATGGAAAGAGCCACATGCCAGGGAACTGCGGAAAGCCTCTGGCCAGTAACCAGTGAGGAAATGGAGGCTGCAGTTCAAAAGCTCCCAAGGAATCAAATCCTTCAAACAACTGACTGAGTTTGAAGCTAGTCTCTCCTCAGCTGAGCCTTTAAGTGAGACCACAACCCTGGCCAATACCTTAATTGTAGCTGTGTCAGAGCCCTTGAGATAGAGAGAGGCACTTAAGCTACCTACTGATTCTGGACCCACAGAAATTACGAGATAATAAGTGCTTGTTGTCTTAAACTGCTAAGTTTTAAGATAGTTTGCTATGCAACGATGGATAGTGCACACATTTAATAGGAAAAGGACTGCTTTGATCCAGATTAAGTCTAGGTCATCATTTTTACAAACAGGTCTTGCTATACACAAGTGCAACCCTAATAGACTTAATAACAGAATTATGGAAAACTCTACCTATGATAAAGGTAAGAAATTGGTTTATTCCTAATATTCCCTCATATTTCTCACAGAAACCTGGGTTTGAGCACCAACTACGAGCCAGGTACTTACTGTGAGACACGGTCAAGCCATTTTATCTTTCTGAGACACAATCTTGATATGTGGAAAATGCAGTTAATAAGTATCTCGTTTGTCATGATTGTCATGAGATTGACCCAAGGTCATGTAATTGAAACTACTTTGGAAACTGTAAAACCAGTCAAAACATAAGTAACCAAGACACAGCTGCAGTCCATCTCATCGAATTTCTCCAGGCTAATAACATTTTAAATATTTGCAACTCCTCAAAAAATAGTTCCCTTTTTAATGAGGCAAAAGACAATATCGCTTTAGTTCTTAAGTTTTGCTACGAAATATCTTTTTTGTGTCGTTTTTGCCAAATCTAATGTTTTGGGTCAATACCAATTCCATCCTTGGTCATTTCACGTATATTAAGATTTAGCCAAATAATTCCAAGTGTTTTTTTTTTTTTTAATTTAAAAAAATATGTCTTGGGTGAGATTCATTAGAATCAGGGCCTGAGGTAAAAGTTTTTGTTCAAGTGATTTATTGGAGCATTCTCAGGAGAAGGGGAGCAGATGAGAGTGGAAGAATGTTGACCAAGTGTGGGCTTAGCTGGAGGCTAGCTTCATTTGATTTGGAAGTTCTGGAGCACAAATCACACCACGGCATTAGGTCCACCTTGAGGCAAAGAGGCTGGTCTTTAGTTAGCTCCCCACTACTTTGATCCCCGTCCCTGTCATTTCCCAGAGGACAAATCTCCAGGGAAGAAGGTAGCTATGAGGTCATGAGCCACACTCAAAGCAGCTTGGACAGGAGGCAGGGGGGAAGCAAGTACGAGCCACTGAAGGGCATCTAAGCAGGGTAACAACAGCATCTCCTACAGGAGATATATTTCTTGCCTTTTTAATTGTATTTTCTCATCACTTTTACTAATAGGTCTTGTTATGCTAAATAGTTCTAGCATTTTATACCAGCTGTGTTAAATGAAACAGCAGAAAAGCAGCAGTGTGGAAAAAGAAAGATTTGTCTCTAATCAGAGTTGTGCAGCTTAATTCAAGTCAGACAACAAATGAAAGGGGTCATTGGAAGACTTTTGCTCCTAAAACATAGCCATTAAGAAATACACACCAGAGGTACGTAGGCAAAGCTAAGGCACGCAGGGTGCCTGGGAAGCAGCAGCTCAGCTAGGCCAAGTGGGAGAAGAGTAAGGGGAGTGGCTTGGGCAGAGAAGGCCAGTGTGACAGAGCTGTCAACTCAGGTCCCCAAGAGAGGCAAAGGTAAGACAAGTCCACACCCACACCCAAGAGAGAATGAGGAGAAAGGAAGGGAAGGAAGAGGGAGAAGAAGTGATACTCATAACCCAAGAGGAAGGATGAAGACAAGAATCTACCCAGTCTGCAATCATAGGCGTGTCCTAACTATCTCCTGACAATGAATGCCTCTGACTTTTCCCACCAAATTTTTCTCTGTTTCTCATATCCGACACGGCTCACCCTTTTCCTTATAAATTGTTTACATTTGAAAAAGCTCAATCATGAAACAGAAGATGGTGAAACTTCTGTTTGATGGTTATTATTAACACTTCAGCTGGAGCTTCCTGAAACATTATTGCTCTTGGTTGCCTTGAGGGAGGGGTTGGGATTTGTCAAAAAATATATTTGACTTTAGTTGCCCAGAAGAAATTCTGAAGCTTCCAAATGCATGGGAGCCTTTACAGAGGTGCTCAGTAGGGAAACGCAATCTGGAGATTATACCATACAGAGCACCCAGCCTTCCCTCCCCCAGCATGGATGGATGATCACTGCCAATTCTCATTTGTGCTTCTGACATTAATTAATTTTGGCTTTTTTAGTATATATGAAAAAAAGATTGGAGATTCTCATGAATAAAACAGTACAGTGGCAATACTATTTCAACCAGAATTCTGTCTCTTTCCATCATTCTCAAGCATAGATTACCACTTTTTAAAACTATTGCAACTAAGAAATGTTTATGTTTGATAAAACTAAAATGTAAACACGGGTTTAAGGTGCTTGCCTAGCTTGCTTTCTATAACAAAATATCTGCTGGTTTTCAAAGTTATATTGAAACAGTATGTTAAATTCAGTTCTGACAGCATATAAAGATACTGGCTTTCCTAGACACATAAGCAAAGTCTTTTTTATGAGCTCATAAAGGCTAGACTTAAGGAATATTTAAGTAGTGGATAACTCATAGAACAAATACGATATCTTTATTCATTCAGCTTACATAGAGGGCAACCACAATTTATTCTTCTTAGATCTTCCTCTCATGTTTCATATTCTTAGGAAGGGAAAGGTATTTAGAAAAGACCTAAATACATTTTTTTATTATTATTGAACTATCAAAGATGTGCTCTCTTTGGAACTCCCTTCACTTCCTCATTCTGTGTATGTTAACCCACTTCAGAGACCATGGTGAAATGAACCCAAAACACCAACTTACTATTTGCATTATAAATGGAGACACAAAAGGATATGTTTAAACTTTTGGTTGATCTGGCATATCAAAGATTTCTTTCTTAGCTTACTTCAGTGAGTGCATTGAAGTAAACTGAAAGCAATAGCTTAAAAGTGGCTTTAAAAAGTCATAAAAAAAAAAAAAACAGCTATTTCCATGGAAATCTTCAGTTTACTCTCCAAGCCCTCTTTCAGAATTGCTTCTTTCTTACCCTCTTCTTTATTTGCAGGACTCAACAAGGAGGAACTCTGGAGTTTTCTGAATTCAAGTGTTAAACTAGTTCTCACAGGAGTGCAATCCATTTTCCTTTCCTTGTCAAATTTGCACTCAAACTTCCAGCGAGCAGCCTCACTCTGACTTTTTTTTCCCTTGAGCTAATTACCAACGCTGCACCTTGGACTCTAACCAAGTACTTTGCCAGGTCGGCCATTTTCCTCTGCTTTATAAAGTTCACAAGAAAATTATAAGTCAATAGAGTGCTTACCTGAGAGTTCATAGAAGTGAGGCTGATGAAATTTAAACAAGTCGCCAGGTCTCAACAGTCGATACAGCTTTTCTGAACTTCGCCTTAGACCTTCACAGATCTGCGGTTTTTATTTTCCGTTTTCAAAATGGAGGGCAGGGTCTCCCTAAGAATCATGGGAAAGGTGAAAAATGGCATTTCAAAGCTCTTAAATAACCACTGAATAAGGGCTCCTGTGAACTGAGCCTGGGAACAGTGCCTGTGGAAGAACCTGAACACCTCCTGTTTAGCATTAGCTGGGAGTAGTTAACAACTCTTCATGAAATCAGATGATTAAAAAGTGTAGGCCAGGTGCAGTGGCTTATGCCTGTAATTCCAGCACTTTGAGAGATCGAGGCCAGTGGATTACTTGAGGTCAAGAGTTTAAGACGACCCTGGCCAACAAGGGGAAAGCCTGTCTCTACTAAAAATACAAGAAGGAGCTGGGCATGGTGGTGCACCTGTAATCCCAGCTCCTCAAGAGGCTGAAGCAGGAGAATTGCTTGAACCCGGTAGGCAGAGGTTGCAGGGAGCCAAGATCACAAAACTGCACTCCAGCCTGGAACCAGAGCTAGACTCCATCTGAAAAAAAAAATTGTAAAATGTTCACGGAATAGGAGCTTTTATTATCAGAAAATGATGGAAAAGTCAAAGTGCTTCAGTCACTAAATTGTTACAAGTAAAATACACACTACTACTAAATTTGTCTGGGCAATAAGGTTTCTCTAATATGAAAAGTTATGCCCATATTGACTATTTGTCATTTCAAAGTATTGTTTTCACTATATCCTCTTTGGAGATGATATCCTATCTGCCTCACATTTTATAGTGTTTGAATATTTAAGCTAATTTTATATACTATCTGACATGTGTCCACCTACAAAAGTATCTCAAATTTTGCTTTTTTTCCATGCTTTACCATACTTTATATTGATCAAAAAATAGTTCATGTGGGAAAAGGTATCTGTGTGTCTGTTTAACCAAATAGATCTTAATAGTGTTGATAGAGTCTTATTATATTCCTGTCATAATTATTTTTTAAAACTTCTGGTCTTTCTTTGAAATGGCAAAACTTCTTGTATATAAAGAGTTAAGGATGAAGAACTCTGATTATAATTTCACCAACTATTTCAGTATTGTCCTTTGGAAATACATACAGTCTCAACACCAAACTTTGAAACACTAACACACCCCAACCTCCAAAAAGAAAAGGAAAAATAAAAGTAAAATAGTAAAATGTCTTCACAGATTCAGTAAAATAATATTAGCATTAAATTTTTGATAACACTGATGAAGAGAGATGCTAACATTGACATTTAATAATATGGAACTTATTAGACCAGAGGTACATTTTTCTTTCATTAAATTAAAGAATACAATATGTAATCATTTTAGCTTTACAACAAAATTCATTTCTTTAGGGTGGTTAGATTTCTTGATTTGGGTTTGCAAAGTTATTCTCTATTCTTGAATGCAAAATTTGCTTCCTAGTTAAGTCTAGAATACTGAAAGTTATCTGTCATATTGTTTTAATATTATTTTTTAGCAAATCTAACCCTTGGAAAGACATCCAAGTGTCACTAAATATCTCATCTAGCTAAATTGAGGCCAAAGTATGAACGTCAACTTTGAATTCTGAATGCATTTATTCATTGTCTATCAATTTGCCAAACTTTCTAAAGTGCAAGTTTATAAAAATCAAAGAAATTGATATTTTCTTGGGGCTGTGTAAAGCCTCAAATTATATTTGTCAATGACTCATTCTAGAGGAGAACTTTAGTAATGTTCTATTATTGCCACATATTCCTGTGCTCGTGTTAGAAACACCTCAGTATCTTTCCCTTTCTGCCACCACCTCCTACCAACTTCCTCCTGAGTTATGAGATTCAAGGCTATATTATAATGACCTCGGCCATCGTTTCACTAAGATTTTTCCAATATCACCACCAAGTCCTCCTGAAAACACACCTCCCTTAAATCGTCCATCTAAACTTCTCAGGGGAAGCCTGCCCAACAGTGTAAAGAAAACAAACAGAAATCCATAATAATGCAAAGGAAGCCAGCAGTTTTATATTGGAACAACCCTGTTCTAAGGTTAACCCCAGCTGGAATTTCTGCAAATTGTCCATTTACATGACCATTCACTAAGGTTGTAAATGATGTTCAATACTGGCTTCCTGCCAGTTTTAAAAAATAATTATGACAGGAATATAATAAGATATATTTGGATCTTATTATAGATCTATTAAGATCTATTTGGTTAAACAGTTTAATTGACTCTGCAAATTAAAGAAAAAGGAAAAAAGGAATAAAAATATCTGTTACTGTTAAAAGCAAATAACAAGAAGCAAAGTAAGCCATTGACTTGCCAGGGAAATGAGGTTTCCGAGGAATTGCTTCTGTATTAGTCTTTAGGATAAGAAATTTAAGAATATAAAGTTACTACAAGTTAGCATTTTACTTAATCTCTTCTCTGCCATGAGACGAAGGCACTGCCAACCACAAAAACATGTTTTAAAAAGAATTGAAAATATTTATTTTTCTTTTGAGAAGAAAAACTTCTTAATCAGACTTCTTAATCAGAATAATTTGAGAGTTTATTTGGTATAATTTATTAAGATTCCATATAAATCAGAAGTCAAAATGTCACTTAAAAATCTTTGTATTTAAACAAACTTGTTCAGCGAATATGGAGGTTCTAGAAAATGTCGGTCTGTGAAATTTTATACCTATAAACATGATGGAAGAAAAAAAATTTGGAAAAAGATCCACTCCTCTCCATCCCTTCACCCAGGGGGGAACAAAACCTATGTTATGGATGGTGACATTCAGTGAGATGGGTATTAACAGACAAGTGCTAAACTCTGTAAAATATAACAAGGAGATTCTGATTCTAATGATAAACATGTTATTGTTACATGTTAACATGTCAATGTTAGCATCTCTCTTCATCAGTGTTATTGTTCATTTCTAACTGTCTGAAATAATCCTGGATTTTACTTAAATTCTGCCTAAAACTCTTACTTACATTGTGCACTAAAAATTTCACAAAGCAACAAAATCTGGAACAGTCCATCTTGCAAGAATGAACGGCTGCTTTCAGTGTGTCTGATAAAAGTGGCATCCCCTCCCCCTCCTCAGGTGCAAACACACCAGAGCAGGTTTTCCTGTTATTCTGATGCATGCCTTTCTTCCCATATTAACAATAAAAGTTTGGTATGCTATCTGCCTGCAGAAGTTCCTTCCTGAGCACAAGTGTGTCTTATCTGTTGAGAAATTCTGACACCAGGTAGACCGTTGTTTATGTGAAAAGGCATCTCTCTTGGGCAAATAACTGAGTGCTTTAAGAACCTCGATAAATGAGCAAGTTCTCTGTGCAAATATACAAAACACCCAGCTAATATCAAATGGCTTTTTAAACTATTATGCATTCCTAAGATGGACATTTATACATGTAACCTTGCCACCTGGCTGTGTTTCCAAAGCTCCCCAGCAATCGTCCAGGCCCAGCTAGCCTCTATATGTTTTGCCTCTGCTCAGTTTCCACAATCTAGTCAAGAAAATCCAAAAGATTAATTGCTGTTCCCTAAACACTTCTTGCTTTCTCCCACTTTTCACACAAGGGCAGTACTAGGAAAATAAGAATAAAAATAATACAATCTAGGCCATTCACCTTTGCCCTTTCAAACCTGCCTCTCAGCCAGGGCTGACAGCCAGCCTGTTCTGCCTACCTGCCCCCAAACCAGCTTGCTGAGCCATGCTAACTCACCACCACTCTGTTCCTGCTTCTATAAAGGAGTCAACCAGATAAACTCATTTAGGTTCATGTGTTAACACATTACTAGTCTACACTTCCAGCTAACTTGTCCAAATTTAAATTTACAAATAAACAGGTAAAACTTCAATTACAAATTCATTTCCTTCCTTCCTTTCTTTTCTTTCTTTTTCTTTTTTTTTTTTTTAAACAGGGTCTCCCTCTGTTGCCCAGGCTGGAATACAGTGGCACAATCATAGCTCACTGCAGCCTTCAACTCCTAGGCTCAAGTGATCCTCCTGCCTTAGCCTCCCAAGTAGCTGGAACTATAGTCATGGTCCAGCCACCATGCCTAGCTGATTTTTTTTTATTATTATTTTATTTTTAGTAGAGATGGGGTCTTGCTATGTTACCCAAGCTGCTCAAATTCCTGAGCTCAAGCACGCCTCCTGCCTCAGTCTCCTAAAGTGCTGGGATTATAGGCAAGAGCCACAGCACCCAGCTACACACTTATTATTTCTTAAGCATACATATGTGCTAGCCACTGTGCTGAGGTTACAGAGAGAATCAAGAGAGTCTCTACCCTTGTGGTCCTTGGAGTCCAGAGAAGTCAGTGGATATGAACAGTTATGATGAACACTGTGATGGGAACGTGTACAGGATACAATGGGAAAATGTAGGTGAGGCCCTGCCCCAGTGGTGCAATAAATGAAGGGGCTGAGAAAGACTCTTTGAAGCCATGATTCCTGGCATGGTGTAAAATAAAGTGGGAGTAAGCAGGTGAGGAAGGCAAGCGAGAAGGACATTCCCAAGGAAGGATAAGCCTGGGCAAGATTGCAGAGGTGGAACACAGAATGGCATGCAGCAGGAACAAGCTACAGTTCTGGTTCTGGCTTTAGGACTTCAAGCCCATGGAAGAGATATTTTTAGTCAAGTGAGTATTGTCAGGGTATTTAGTCAACCCCCCTAAAGCAACAACTTCCTTTTTTTGAGAAAGAGACCAACCCTAACTTCAGGATTTCCCTTCCACTCACAAAGACTCCTCCAAAGTAGGTTCTTCCTCTGCTTTTGAATCCAATGTACCTAGACACCCTTCCCTAACGTAAGCAAGTCCATCCATCTCATCAGATTTAATTGCTCCACATAATTCTTTGTACCTATTTTTATATATAGTTCTCAATTATCACCTTGTCTCCCCCACAACACCTTGGGACAAGACTCTTGAATACTGTTTCTTTTTCTTCCACCTTTCAGAACACTTTAGAGCTCTGTAAATATTGATAACTTATCATGTGACTTGGCATCTTCATAAACAGAAGCAGACAAATTTTTTTTCATAATTGTTTCTCCAGCAATACTTTCAAGATAGAGGT